CCCGTAATATTGTGATCATTAATTATAGCCGTTATTTGTAGATTGTTCAATAAACCAGTTAACGATCTCTACGGCGTATTCTGTAACGTAAACACGTTACAATATATATAGACACTAGGATCACTGAAATTGTACAATACCCATAATATATTTGCAGAACCTCCTCATCAAGATAGACAGGCGGCACAAAATCTGCCCCGTACAAGAAGGATGATAGGAGTATGGACACGAACCTACATGGTTTAAAAAATTTTAACTATTGACAATAAAGGTTTTTTAAATAACATCTAGAAACTTTTAAAAACTTTACAACACCAGGCAGCTGCTGTGATTGTGAAATGTTCGACTTTATGCGTACTGTGCACTATAGGATATAAGTGTATGTATTTTAAATCAAAACACCTATTGCGATGGTAGTTTCCAGTTTGTAATGATGTTCCTTCTGAAGATGGCTCATAAGTACCGAAACATGTAAGGGAGATAAGTTTTAACATAGTAAAAACTTACATGTCACATTGGACGGAGTGGTTTGTATTTATGCTCTCAGCTATTTACAAAGATTAATGACAATGTTAAAGCTATATGATCATACAAAACAGTTATGAGATATTCTATGTTTTGGAGAAATAAATGGAGCAATGAAGGATAGGTTTCAGAGAATGGGAAATGGAAAAATGGGGGGGGGGAAATGCTTTTAAGTATAAAGCTGAGGTAATAAAAGAGGCTCATGTGAAGTGAATATGTAAACTAGAAAGGAAACGAGGTTCAAAAGACAAGGGTTAGTCAAGATGGTAAATAACACAAGGCACATTTTGTTTAAACACTGAAACAGAAGCTAAAGTTCACAGCTTGTATTTCTCAAGCATACGGCTATAAACAGGCAGTGATATCAAGTTTTACTTAATTGGGCTTCTCTAGATGCAGAAGTAAATAACATTATTTGATTTCTGAGGAATTACATATATTTATGTTCTACAAGTTCACAAGTGAACAACATATTGTAGTACAGGCAAGATGGCTGTCTGTAAAGCCTGATTTATAAGCCTAATGTGAAGCAAAGGTAACAGGCAGACTCTTCCAGACTGACACTGAAATATAAATGGGCATAAATGTACAATGAATGAATAAGAGAAGGACTTTAACCAGTCCTTGCACTATGATCATCAGTGATCTGTTTGGCATCCCTTCTATTTCAGCACCTCAACAATCTTACACTTAGAACGCAGTGTTTTATTTAAAGGAAATGGTTGTCTTGGTAGTCACTTGGTTCCATAAAACACTGTCTCATGTAATGAAATCTTATGTAGACTACAGACTCACAATCTCATTGAACATGTGTTGCTGATTCACCTTTTCCAGGCACCTTTCACAAGTGAGATTATTGGTTAATCCAAATTCGACAATGTGTCCTTTTAGGTGACAAGTGTCCTGTAAGTAGCCCTATCACACATCGTAACTGGTTTCTATTTAGTGCCAACAGTTCCCTAGTTCTCCTGGCAGAGGGTCCTTGTAGGAAACCCCTTGCATGTCTGAGTCCTGTTAAGGACTCCAAGTATTTTCTGTGGTCTGTATTTGACCAGTCCCTGACAGCTGTCTTGGCAATCCACACTGAGTACATGCATGATACTTCAAACTGTTCTGAGAATATCAAGTATATAAAACTCCTTTTATTGACATGCATGCAGTTAGGGTTGAATGTATTTACTCAAAGAATTTCACTACTATCCCATCAAGGGAAATCTCATATTCTTAAATGTTTAAAATTAACACCAAGAAATGTGAAATAAGTACCGGATTCTTACCGTTTTTCTCCATGGGTGTATTGTGGCCATGCATTGTGCGCCACTTTCTCCCTCACTGTAACCGTTTTGCCTTGCTTACGCCTGTCAGCTTACAGCGTGCATTGGTCACCACTCTTTGGTTTGTAGCCGCCCTTAACCCACCTCTTTTTCTCCTTGTTGTCCTTGTTGTTTGGGCGCCAGTAAGCTCCTGTTGGTGGGGTTACAGTATTAAGGTTTGTGGTAGGCAAAGGGGTAAAGGTGAAGAAGGTTAATGAGCTCAGCCGTTGGCAGAGTGGAGATATGTTCTCAGGTCGATTAGGCAAGGAAGGAATGAACATTATGCCACACACACGATACTTAAGCGGTGTAACTATTTATTGACACTTTTATGCACTTAGGAGAACACACAGTTAATATACTTGGTTATAAGTACTTAGCTCCCTTTAGTCGTAGTACACTAGAAGTTATAAGAATAGTTACAGTGAACACTTTGCCTTGTTAATTTAGGCTTTTGAACAGAAGAACAGTGATACAAATTTTGTATGTAAATAATTTATGAGTTAGCAGACAACTGAACTCTGAGGTTGACTTCTCTCAAAACCCTGAGGTCGTCGCTCTGTCAGTTTCTCTGCTATGTCACTCCCCCAAATTCTACCGATTGGATATATTCAAAATGTGGGAGTTCACTACAATTTATTGATCTCCAAACAGATAGCTGCAGTATGGGAATTTGGTCCTTAAAGCATTAATGTCGCTTTTGACAACTCAGTGATGGAAATTACGCTTAGCGTGGGTATCCAGCACGCCTACTTTTAAGTTACATTGTTCTGGAACTGTCAAAGATCATATTCTCAAAGTTTGCCGCTATGTTACTTCTAAGCAAAATTTCTAAGAAAGAGCCACAGGGGTTCTTCCTGTGAAGCAGTAAGACTGGGAATAAATCGATTCCTGCAAGCAAGGTGACCATGTGCCACTGGCTTGGCTATTACATGCTACTGGTAATTACATTATTTGGTACTAATGATTCTAATTATACCTAAACTAGTGCATGGCAGTGGCGCGGTTACAGGATTGTCCTCTGAAAAGGTATACAACGCCCCTTTCCCTGCTATTTTAACATAGGAACAAGTGGAGAATTCTATGTAAAGGAGACTTACTTTTTCTTGTATGGCATGACAGACCAATGCAGTCCAAAGCCTCGCACTTTTCAACGTTTTTGAATCTCGTTTATTGACACAGGATTCCTTGGATAGGAGAACTCTCTGTTATGAGGCCTCTACCTAAACAGGTAAACACAAACACAGAGGTAATGCAGACACACATACATGCCTTAAGTGGGATTCAAACCTAAAATCCGAGTGTTCAAGCAGTAGAAGCAAAGCAGCATCACCACATGCTTCTCGCAGTCCCTGATAACAGTTTTGTGCACTACGACCTCGTGAAACTTCAATTTTTATCCAGGAGCGTTGATCTTGTTTCGTAAACATGTTGTTAGGGTGCTTGAACTGGGCTCCTGCACTTCAAGACGATGAACAATGCAACTCAATGAAACACAACCAGAGCCACTCACTGCCCTACTTTGACTGAACTTCTGCTATCAGCTACAGACAGCGCTAATGCCACCTGACGCACATCTTTCATGTTACAGCAGTGTTGCCACTACTTTTTATCCAACCCTTGTACGTTGTGCGGTCAAGTTCTAAGGTCTCCGATTTTTTTTCTCACACAATAATCATACAAAAAATTTGAAACTTCTGTCACTTTTCAACGTAATCTCCCTGCAGCCATACACATTTTTCACAACGTTGACGCCATGATTCCATGGCCGCTGCGAACGCTTTTGTAGGAGTCTGTTTTGACCACTGGAAAATTGCTGATGCAATAGCGGATTAAAAAACGGCATACATGTCTCATCCATTGTCACAGTTGATGAAAAGAAAGTCCCATTCATGCCTTCATCATTGCCATGCGTGCAGCCTTGTGGTCATCCACCAAAATTCGTGGAACCCACCTGGAGGACACTTTCCGCATTTGCAGGTCTTCATGCAGGATTTTGTGCACAGATCCCACGGAAATGCCAACTTTGGGGGTGATGTTTTCCACACTCAATCGGCGATCCTCCAAAACAACTTTCTCAACTCGCTCGACCATGTTGTCAGACCGGCTGGTGCGAGGCCGAGATTGTTTTGGTTCGTTGTCACATGACGTTTGGCCTTCTTTGAACTGTCGTGCCCACGAACGCACATTTTTCACATTCATGACACCATCACCACATGTCTCACTCAACTGGCGATGAATTTCAATGGGTGTCACACCACGCAAGTGGAGAAGACGAATGATTACTCGCTGTTCTTGTAACGAAAACGTCACCATTTCAAGTATCAAAAACACTCCTCACACTCGCCGCTACCACTAGAGTTCTGTGTGCCGTAGAGTTCTGCCATCTCTGTCACGCATTCACAAAGAGTGCACACGTATTTTAAACAAAACCGCATGTGTCCATCTGCTCCCGGTCCTGAGAAAAAAAATCGGAGACCTTAGAACTTGAACGCCCCTCGTATATATAGAGCGGTCCTGAAATGTGTGGACAAACTTTTGGAATGTGGTCTACTAATTCTAAGGATAAAAAGAGATCATATAAACGTGGTCTGGAAATACTTCCCAATCGAGTTACAGCCTTCAAATTTGCACATCAGAGAAAGAGTTTGGAGCAGCCTCTTTGTACAACAACAGAAGCCTCACAGCAGTGCCTCATGGGCTGCTGAACATTTTCGAAAACTCCTCAAGTATCCTGAACCGTGTGACAACCCTCCAGAAGGAAGCCAAGGAAAACTTGTACATTGCAACTGGTGTTTGATAAACAAGCTGGGTAGACTCTAAAGGGTTTTGATGGTGGCTTACAACACTCAGAATAACTTGTTTTTTGGACTTTCTCCATGGTTTGGTATTATAAAAAACTAGAGAATAACACTTCAGAAAGTGAATCTGTTTGTGTCCTCAGATGAGGGGGGGAGACACATACTGTGTTAGGTCCCTTAGAATCAGCTAACCTCAGAGGTTATCACCCAAATAACTATAAAACACCTTTAACAAAATATATCTGGGTCAAATATTCCTTCTCCCAGTCACGTCCTGAACAGTCAAACATGGTTTTCTCACCAGCCATCTATCACCACCTTAACAACATTCATCTGAATTGCAACACATACGCACAAATAATAACACAAACTCTTCTGTACTTGTTAGCTTGTTACTAAATGTAATAAAGTGGCTTGGAAATGAAGGGCTTTTGTCAACAAGGTAATAAATCTGTGGGTTCCATAAAATGCCGGGAAGTTCTTGAGTAGCTGCACAACTGGCGGCTTCTCAAGAAGGGCTCAGCTCCATAAAGTTAATCTAATTCAAATTATACAAAACCATCTCATTCTTATCACGCTTCTTTGGCATATAATCCACAATATGTTGCCCTACAATTACATCCTGGTCCAAAAAACTATCAGTATGTTCCACCTCCCTCACAACATCCTCAAAATCCTTAGACCCCCTCAGAAACTCACAACACTCTACAAACTTCTTATACATTGGATAAAAAACAACTTCCTTCTTTAAAAACCTTTTCAGTTCATGTGTGTTCATGAACTCAGGCACATCATGACACTCCATTGTCGAGAATCTAGTAATGTAAAAATGTTCATGTTGGTAATAGTGATGTACGAGGGGAAGTCAATAATTATCCGCAATGCAGTTGTCTTTGTGTTTCTGTTGGCAGCACTGTCATTTTGCGCAGCATCACCATGCGCAGTTTCCTTGTCATTATTTCTGCGCAGGTTTGATGTTGCTAGGTCAGTTCCATCGTCGCTGCCTTGCCGTTAATCATGGCTGCTCCGCTTTCTGTTTGCACCAAAAAAGAGCAACGTTCAGTGATCCGGTTTTTGTGGTCGGAAGGTGTAACAGGGGCCGCAATCCATCAAAGACTTTCAGCACAATACGGGAACAGTGTTTTGCCGCAATGGAGTGTCTACGAATGGTTTGAAAAATTAAAAAGTGGTCGCACAAGTGTTACGCATGAGGAAGGAGCTGGACGACCATCCACGACCACAAACAAGGACAACATTGAGCGTGCAGGTTTACGTGGTTCTGTTAGACAGACGAGTGGCTATTGATGAAGTGGCAAATTGTCTGCAGATTAGTCATGGTTCTGCCTACGAAATCATCCACAACAGACTTGGTTTTCATAAAGTCTGTGCAAGATGGGTCCCAAAACAACTCACAGTGTTGCATAAACAAACGCACTTGGACATCTGCCAACATTTGGATCGCTATGGTAACGAATGTCTTCTTAGACAGAATCATCACTGGTGACAAAACATGGATCCATCACTGTGAGCCGGAGAGTAAACGGCAGAGTATGGAATGGAAACATCCACAATTGCCCAGCAAGAAAAAGTTCAAAAGCCAACCATCCGCAGGAAAACTGATGCTTACAGTTTTCTGGGACTCACAAGGCCCAGTACTGGAACATTATCATGAGAGGGGCACAACAGTAAACAGTGCTTGTTACAGTGAGATGCTTACTGACAGGCTAAAGCCTGCAATTTGAACAAACGCCGAGGACTACTGTCGAAAGGTGTTGTGTTGTTGCACGACGATGCTCGTCCACATACTGCTGCCCACACTGCTGAAACCCTCAGGAAACTCAAGTCTGATGTAATGGCTCATCCTTCGTATAGTCCTGATCTCGCCCCTTCTGACTACCACTTGTTTGGTCCCCTCAAAGAGGCATTAAGGGGCCGTCGATTCACCTCGGACCAAGAAGTGAAGGAAGCGGTGCATGCGTGGCTCGCTGCTCAGCTGAAAACCTTCTTTTCTGAGAGCATCAGGAACCTTGTGCAACGATGGACCAAGTGCGTTGAAAAGCAAGGGGACTATGCTGAAAAATGATGTTAATGTAAGTTTTCTATTTGTATTGAAATAAAATTTATAGCTATATTGCGGATAATTATTGACATATATTCATTTGTTTTTGTTTTGTATTATAATAAAAAGTTCTTCTCATCCAATATGGCCGTTAAGTGATACGAGTATATTATATTTAAGCATCCTGTTACGCTCACACAATATATATGAGACAAATTCCGTCTTAAGTGCAACAATTTAATTGTAGTTCTTTCTTCTTCAGTTCCTCTACACTAAATGTTTCAGCCCTAAATGGCCATCATCAGGTGTGTATCCTTACGTAGCTGCTACACTGCCCGTATTTAAAATTTAAAATCACCAGTCTTTCCAATTGTATGTATGTATAAAATCTTTGTTAACCTACACATGTCAATTTGATTTCTAAAATTGGCACTTTTTTTAAAACTTCAATTCAAATTAAAATGCCTATAAATTTTCTGTTCTTCTTCTTTTTCCAATTTTTTTTTTTTTTTAATTTTCTCGAGGTACACGCCCTATGTCTATAGTGCTGCAGCAGCCACTTCTTGTTTTATCGCTGTTCAGGTACTGTTCTGTGTAGGCTCTCTCTGTGTGTGTCGCTGCTTATCTTTAATACACAAGAAGTGGCCGCCGCAGCACTATAGACATAGGGCGTGTACCCCGAGAAAATTTTTAAAAATTTGGAAAAAGAAGAAGAACAGAAAATTTATAGACATTTTAATTTGAATTGAAGTTTTAAAAAAGTGCCAATTTTAGAAATCAAATTGACGCGTGTAGGTTAACAAAGATTTTATACATACATACAATTGGAAAGACTGGTGATTTTAAATTTTAAACTACGGGCAGTGTAGCAGCTACGTAAGAATACACACCTGATGATGGCCATTTAGGGCCGAAACATGTAGTGTAGAGGAAGGGAAGAAGAAAGAATTACAATTAAACTGTTGCACTTAAGACGGAATTTGTCTCATATATAATGATACAAGTATGTAAGCACGACACAAAGAAAATCAACAGATTATGGCCCAGATTTGCTCGAAAACTAAAAAAAGGAAGGAAAGAGAAAAAAGGAGAAGACAGAAGAAGAATAACGAAAAATGGCAACCACAGAGACAGAAGAGATAATGCATTTGCCAAAACTGAAGGACGCCGACTCATTTCCACTTTGGGATTTTGAAATCAAGATTCTGATGTGTGCAAAAGAACTGATAAACATCGTTGATGGCAGCAGCCTGTTAAGTGACCAAGGAAGAGACGAAGAAAATATAAGGAAATGAAGATGCGAGATGCAAAGTGCCAATACTACATAGTGAGAACGATAGAGAAACATGTGAAGACCCACACTGTGACATGCACAACCGGGAAAGAAATGGACCACACCTTCAAGCAAATTTATCAGCGAGACACCTCTCAACAGAAGTGCCTTCTGCTACAAGACTTCTACAACTTCAAGTATGACAAAACTAAGGATATGATGATGAATATAAGCCATGCGCAGAACATTGCCTTCAAGCTTTGTTAACTGAACCAAAACGTTGATGAAAACATGATCATGACAAAAATATCAACAATTCTACCAGAAGACTACAAACACTTCAGCAATGCCTGGGACTCAACGGTGGCCGTGGACAGAACCCTTGACAACCTGGTGGCCAGATTGCTGTTGGAAGAAGTGAAGTGCAAGAGGACGACTAAAGAAGAGGAAAGCATAGCCTTTAATTGAATTGAATTGAATTTATTTACATTCTATAAATCCTAAGTAGGTTAGTACCTTTGGATACAGAACAAGTCAAAAGGTTACATACATAAGTACAGGCAATTTTAGCTTAAAAATTAATATTATTTACATTGAAGTATTCATCTAAAGAGTAGAAGGAATGAGCATGTAGATAATTCTTTAACTCTGATTTAAACTTTTTAGTATCATTGCCCAAGTTTTTAATACTTTGTGGCAGATTGTTGAACACTTTTATGCCAGTAAAGTAGACTCCTTTTTGATATACTGATAAAGTTGATG